ATAATAATAATAATAATAATAATAATAAAAGATACCTACGAGATCAAAGGCAGATGTCGCGTAATTTACACTCACATGCTGTGCTGCTGATTAACATAATATGATTTCAGTTCTGTTGCCTTTATATAAAAATAAATATGATGAACAAGACACTCAAAGTGCTTGCTATTTAATTCCATACGAAAGGCGTATTTATCATCCATTTTTACTTTAATACAAACATGTATTTTAGATTTTTATAGAAATATGACAACAATCACATTATCTCACACAGAGATTGCACTGGCATAGTGTTTGGGAACATTCATGCATAATTGAAATACATAATCACATGAAATCAGATAGAAAATAAAATATTTTAGAAGAGAACACAGCATCACGGTTGTCTGAACCAATGAGCATTAAACTGTGTCGTCAGTCAGTCGTTTCCCATCATGCTTTAGGTCAGCGCAGTCGGTGGAGAGCAATCCGACACAGCCGCCTCGCCGTCGCGAGAGCTTTTTGGCACACGTCAGCATGACATCAGAGCAAGTCGGACGTAACTCTTCTAACCGGCATGCATCTCGCGGTGATCACCGGTGATCGGTTATGCGCATATTTTGCTCATCTCAAACAAGCCTAATGAAACTGAAAATAACTACGGAGCCTGACTTGTTAGTTTTTGACTGTATTTATTATACCTTATACTGGAGGAAATGTTGGTGATGGTTCACCCCCGGCACCGCCAGGTGGTGTGGCGTATTTCAGGCTTAGCCAAGACCATGCAGGTAACTTAGGGATCCCAAGGTCAGAAAAGTATTATATGACGGGGAAGTCTAAACACATATAATGTCTGTTTCATTCATATTGGCAGCCACAGGGCGCCCTCCCACAGAAATTCCTCATATGCATCCCAGGAAATCTGTAATATGGACAAAGGAATCCAGCTATCCTTGTGGCTGAATTATAAGATAGAAACGCTTGAACTGATTAAACTAGTGATGGGAAACCAAGGCTTTCTGAACCGTTAGAGGCTTTCATGAAATTGTGCCGAAAACCGTTCATTACTCAAAGCTTTTAACACAGTGTGCATTAGCGTCATCTGGTGGACTTGGTTTCTCCCCCAAATCTAACAAAACATCGCGGAGCAGAGGATGGGTTGTGGCTAGAAGGGATACAGCAAAAACCGGAAGCTAACAATAAATAGAATTTTCTACCTACTGGATTGTGTTTTATTAACGTCTACACCAGGGCGGTGTTCCCGTATGGCAGAGTATGGCAGTCGACATACCCTAGGGCCTAGGCCCAGTCAGGTGTGCCGTGGAAAATCCAAACTCTCTTTTATATTTCGTTATTATTGTTTTAACTGCTATTGGTCTTCCTTATGTCTGTTTGAGGGTTTTAAAAAATATTTAACCAATGAAAAGCATTCAAAAGAGCTTGTCACTAAACTTTGTAATGCTATGGATCCTCAAACTGTCAGCGAAACCTCGTAACTTCACCCTGCCTCCATCCAGAACGAAGCGTCGCGCAGTGCGCACAGCCTGGAGACAGATCTTGGCTTGCTCGCAATGCAAGGGTTAATAATAAATAAATAACTGATGTTTTAATAAGTACCGTGTTTTCTTCACTAAAATACTATGTCTGTAAAGGCTAATGTTTTTTTGTGAAACTCCGCCACTGGTCTACACCTACCCCAACCCTAAACCTACCCCTGACAATAATGCAAAAATAGTCATTATTGTTGTACAGTGTGAGAAAAAGTATGCTATATTGATGTGCACATGGCCAGTAGTTTCTGCTGCATGCCATCTAGCCTTAACCCAAAAGATGGTTTGAAAAAGTTTTTAATCTGTGCCAACTCGTGTCATGCGTAGTCCGGTCAACGGATTCACATATTGATCAGTAATATAAAATATACAAGTGTGTGAATATAATTTATAATTGATGTGAGTAGTAGCAGAAATATTTTGGGTGAGCTGTTCGGGGTCTCTGAGACCCCAGCTACAGAACATGATAAAACGCAATAGAGGTGTGACGTGCATTCAGTTTCTGTCTGGTGTTGAGGTTATTCTAAACTATTCTACTGAATCTCAAATAAGTGTACACACACACACACACACACACACACACAACCAAGTCAATGCAAAGTCAAACATGAGAGTCATGCGAAGTGCCGATTTTTTCAAACCAGCTGTCCTGACCTTCTGATACTGCATGACTTTTGAAGCTTCAAACGTCATCAATTACGTGAGATATTGTCATTCCGATACAAGCATCAGCACAGTGTGTGACACAACAGTGCTTTGAAAACTGCGTCAGAGCATCGGAGCCTCTGTATCAATCGTCCCATCACTAGATTAAACAAAGACAATAAACCCACGACTGTGACAATATATGGTTTATCTCTGTTCTTCAAGCCATCTTGGGTAGTTTCATAATAAAGTACATTTATAATAAATTGCTAATCGACATTGCCTTTATTACAGTATAGAATATGCCTCATTCTGTGATAAGAAGCCATAGATCAGAAAAGGAAGTTATTTCAAACTGTCGACTGATGTTGTGGAGTAAAATCATGTTATTAAATGTTCTCTTTTGTTGGACACCAGGTTTATAAACGCTTCTCGTTAAGTTTGGTAAGATTGTTAGCGCGTGTTGCTTTTTTCAGCGACTCAAACTCACAGCGCCTGCAGAAATGAGCAGCAGCATTTACTACTGACGCTGCGGGATGTATTAGTATGTGATCTTGTAAGAAGACGCTGTGCTGTTCAGTGCATTGCAGGTTCACAAAATAGAATGTAGGTATTGTTGTGCTACACCGCTATTTGCTGGAAAATGTAGTTAGCTATTGGAAAAGCTACATTGTTTTAAAAGTAGCTGAGCTACTGTCAAGCTACTGAAAATGTAGCTCCGTTAGTTGCATCACTACTTGTAGCTAGCTACTCCCCAACACTGGCACCAATTTGCAATATCAAGCAGCAAAATGAGCTGTTTTGTGCAGATAAAAACTAGCTGGACGCGGATGAGAACGGAAGCCAGACACATAACATTGACAAATGGCCGCACCTTCTCTTACAGCAAGAATAAGGTGGATAAGGTCTGTGAAACTTTATCCATAGAACACCTCCTGCATTTTCGTGCGGAACATATCATAATTGGCTCTAAAACATATATAAAACATTTCTACTCATCAAATCTTACTCAACACAATTTATGGAGTTTAAAACAACATATTGATTTACATTTATTTTTACATTCATTCATTCTGCAGTCTTTAGTCAAACTGACTTACAAATGAGGACAAATACAAACACCAGCAATTCATCAAAAAGCAAAATAGACATTTTAAGTGCTGCAGTATGAGGCTACATATTCAGAACTACAGTAGACACATTAGATGCTTAAATTTTGTCTTCAGCATTGTACATAATGTTTTTTCTTTTTCTTTCTTTCTTTCTTTCTTTCTTTATCTCAATTTATTTAGCAAAACAATGGAATATAACCACCCTTAGATGGCTACACTAAGGAGGTCCTCAATCAGTGTCGGTCACACAGTAGGCTAGCGAAGCACCGTGGTCTTGACCAGAAGCTCACAAGAGGGAGATCCGGACCATCAGTAAATGATTCGCTAAAGAGCGAACACAAACATCATTCATCCAAGATCAAAGCCTGATGTAAGCAGTGGGCATAGCACTAGAGGACTGGACATAGCTATCCTCGAATAGCAGTTCTCTCAGATAAGGCTGAAGATTGCCCAGGCCATCTACTTAAAACCCCGAAGGGGAGACAGCACAGTCCAGGCAAGGGGCTCACAGAGACCACAATCTAAAAACCCTAAAAAGGGGAGCAGTCTCCGAGCTGGAACACAGCTATCCTCGAATAGCAGATTCCTAGACAAAGACTTCCGCGCTTAATCGAGAGAACTTGTGCCAAGAGGAACACAACCTGGTTAAGAAGCCAAGCTAGAACATAGCTGCCCTCAGACTGCCATATTCCAGAGCAAAGTAAGATAGAGTATAGGCGACTATGTGTCAAACATTTGATTGATGACTGTCATAAAAATTCCAAAAACAAAAAGTACCAGATATGTTTGTTAAAACAACAGTATACGATAGTTGAACTTTTCAACCTCCGCCGGTGTCTCGGGAACAGAAATCTTCCCTCGGTGAGTAACTTTCACTACCGCGGGGTAGACCAAAGAGGATGATATCCCCAGCTGAGTTAGCTTCTTCCTCGCCGATGCCATCACTCTCCTCTTAGACACAGTGTGGGTGCTATAGTCTGGGAAGAAAAGCAGCGGTGCTCCCATATGAAGAATTTGTCCAGCGGTTCGGGCTCCATTCAGGATTGCATTCCGGTCTTGATAACGCAGCATCATGAAGATTAATGTATGAGGGGTTGATTTCGAACGTTCACCGCTATAAATACGGTGGGCTCTTTCTATCTTTGCCAGCAAGAGAGGGAATCCATTAAGGAAGATGATTCTGTACAAATCCCAGAGGGTCATCTCCTTCTACCCCCTCTTTCAGCCCCACTAGACAGATATTGGACTGGCGGCTTTTATCCTCGATTCTCGCCAACTTTTCCTGAAGGGAGTCCACTGCTAGCTTAACCTCCATAGTGTCTTTTTTTGCGTGACGGAGAGCTGTTTGCATGCTATCAAAATTATTTCTTATCAGACGAACATCCTCTTCCAGAACTCCAAGTCTATCAACAAACGGGGCGAATTCTTCTTTAAACAGTTCCCTTACGAAGCTAAGGTGCGTCTTTAACTCATCGGCAACAATGGCGCGAAGTTTCTCCTCAGGCAGTAAATGTGGAGTTGATCCAATGATGATCTCTTTGTTAAGTACTTCAGCACATACATGTGTGCTATAGCTGACCATGAACTGCAGAGCTTTGAGTTAAAGTCATGTTTTTCATAATTTTACTAAGTACATTAAGTGTTTCCAGTTGTATACTAGGAAATATTCCTTCTCAGTGGATTCAAGTGAAATAAGTTAACCAAATGTTTACACACTATCAAAGCAGTGAACAATCTTAATTGTAGTTCATTTAGTGAATTCAATTTCACAACAAATGTTCTAATTTACTGTAAAATGTATGTATAGCATTACGAGTTCACAGTTGCTCTTGTAATTTCACTCATATTTATCAACATTAAATTCTACAGTGATAGCTGTAAAAAAAAAAAACAGTTTGCTGTATTTCACAGTACAATTGTAATTATTGATTTGCAGTACTTTTGTAAATTTACAGTCTAACTGGCAACCAACATTGCCAGTAAGTTACTGTACATTTTACATTGTTTTTTTTTACAGTGTGTGAACCACAGCATTATGCATGACCATTCACGCCCCCTCGCATATACTGTACCTTTTCTACACAAAAAGTGTAGAAAATAAAAATGATGAAATCAATATATTGTTTTCTGTAAATGAGTAAGATGATTTTCACATCATCTAGCCTTCAAGATCCAGTTCTCAGAAGTCTTGTGAACAAATGTTCTGTATGTGTTTTATGGCCTTATTTCAGTGACTTTAAAATTAAACATTTTCACTAAGCACGCACGTTGTTTTCTCAAAAACACAATCATGTACATACATGCTGCTCACATACAGAGGCGGACAGTAACTAAGTACATTTACTTGAGTATTGTACTTAAGTACACTTTTTGAGTATCGGTACTTTACTTGAGCATTATTTTTTTCTGGGAACTTATGACTTTAACTTCACTACATTTGAAAGACAAATATTGTACTTTTCACTCCACTACATTTCTATCAAGGTCCTCGAAGTAGAAAGTATTTACTACTGTATGAAGCAGCTTTGAAAGTCAGGTTATTAAACTTTAGCCATTAATATGTTTATAAGCAACTGAAAAAAAACACAAACGTCAGGGCATGTCAAAACTTCTCCAGGGCCCCAAAACACCCTCAGACCCCAGAGGGTTAACTCACTTTAGTTTGATTAGTGGAAAGTGTGCCGCTGTAATGCATGAAGAGTGACCAGCAGAGGACTCTAGTGCTCTTCATCTGGACTTTTATTTTGTAAATGTTTCCCTGAGTCACTTTGCACCAGTGTCTGTTATAAAGCTCTGTCTGATATTAATTGTTGAATTAATCGTACTGTAATCTTGAGCATCTTCATCATCAGTCAGTGTTTCTGATGAGTTTTCAGTTTAGTTTGCTTTGCATTTGTCGATTTAAAACAGACTTCTGTGTCTAAATGAAAATTAGTGTCCAAATTAAAAGAATTAAGACATACTAAATTGTAATTATGAGATTGACATCACAGGATGGAATTGTGATAAAAAATCATTATGACAAAATAAGTTGTATGTGTGTATGTTACATAAAAAAGTCAATTGACATAAAGCATCAACATCTAATCTAAAGTAGCTTTAACATGTGAAAGTGTGTATGAATGCAAATAGAAGCACAGATCAGCTGCTCCTTCAATGAACAGAAGAACCGGGACAACTGGATTCACTTGCATTAAAACACTGAATGTTTTCATTATTAGGCCTACTTATGAACTTACGAACACGCACACGCACACAAGCCATGTTTGTTTAATATGTCTCAAGTGTATATCTTGAAAAAAGATGCTGGTATTTTGTGGTCTCTTGTGCTTTAGTGTGGGATTTACATTTGGTCTTTGATCAGTAATACATATCCAATTGAAGATCATCACCACCTCACATTAGATTATTACAAAAACTCCAGAGAAAAAGACAAATAAAAACATGAACAAATACAAATGAATAGCTTTTAATAGCTGAGAAACAGCAACGGGATCAATGTTGGATGATTTGTCGTGGCTTTGCTGCATTACCAGACATTCATGCAGAACTTCTTACAAAAGCAATAATAGCCTGTTGCATCATTTCCATGGAGATCTCACTCAAGCGGCACCCTTACCTGTGCTTAGCGACACATTTATCATTAAAATAAGGTACCATTCACAGGTGACGAGCTCAAAGCAGAGAGAGAAAGAAGACCTTCAGTCGTTTCTCACGATTAAATCAAGCAATGTAAGTATCTGAATTGTGCTGTGTCAGTAATTCTCAAAGCAGACAGCACACATCATATTAGTAGTTCATAGTAAAGCTGTATTAACTATGCAAATGCTGCAGACATTTATGCAGACCTGCTTTGCTCCTTTTGGGCTATATAGTGTGAGAAATCTTGAGGTCGTCATCCAGAATCGTTAATGACGTGTAATGATCTCGATGGTTTGATGTTAATAGATTCAGTTTTAAACAAGTTTCAAGAGATATCATAATGTAAAATCTGCTTTTCTTCTCAAACTCGACTGTAAACTATTTCATCCACACACTTGTTTCTGTGACTTCTTATGAGGTTCATTGTTTGAAATAGATGCATCTCACCTTGACGTCTGTCAGAGATGACGCTCATCAGTATTTGTGACACACCCTTCACAGTCTCTGGATCTATAAAAGCTGGAAGCAGATCAACACATCCTGACTGACATCATACTAGTTTGCTACAGAAGAAAGAAGACAACAGATGCCCCCCAAAAAAAAGAAAGATGTCTGACTCTGGTGATGTAATGCAGAATGAACCTTTCAACCAAACTGTTGAAAATATAAGAACACTGTGTGAAGCAAGTGAAGGTAAGAGAAGAAAGATGTCATGTGAGTTTTTACCTTTTGCCATTTTTTCAGCAAATCATATTTTGGTAAATATAAATTATGTTTGACTCACTGTTTGATCTTTCCAGCTCGTTAAATAATTTATTCATAAGACAAAGCTGTAACGTGGCTGACGAGACGTGAGACGTGCGGATCCATATGCGAGCTTTATTTAGAACAGAAGAGGTCAGAAACACAGGCAGGGTCGAACAATGGCAAACAGGTATAATGAGGGCAAGACAGAAGAGTAATCAAAACCGGGCGTGGTCGATAAGCGGCTAACAATATCCAGAGGGCTTGACACGAGGGGTATCCAATAACAATGCAGAGGTCCAGGCAGGGTCAAACAGTATCCGAACAGGGCAAGACGAGAGAGGTAGTCCGAAGTACACAAGCAATAGTCAGAAAACGAGGAAACAGACAAGGCAAGACTAGGCTAAGGCTATCGAAGGGAAACAGGCTCTGTAGAGTAGCTATCGCTAAGAGAGAGATAAATGCATACAATACTCGGCCCAGGGAAGGGATCAGAGTGAGTGTTAAATAGTGAGGGAGTGATATGAAACAGCTGGGTGCAATCAGTGTTAACAGCTGTGTGCAATCCGTGCTGAGTGCAATCAGTGCAATGAATGATGGGATATGTAGTCCGGGGTGATGTGCAACAGTGTGTAGTGCGAGAGTCAATGAAATCGGAAAGGGTGACCTCTGATGGCTAGCAGAAGAAAGTTCATGGACCGGATTCGTGACAAAAGCCCTCCTTTGTAATTCAATCTGACTTTATACATTGAAAAGAAATTGAAAAGGTGCATAAAGGTTTAACACAATTGTGTTTTTGTGGTGTCATCATTAACATTTTTTTTTTCAATAAGTTTCTCTCACTTTCCAACATAGTGATGTTGTGCTTGTTTTAAAATGAACCAGAAGAATATACAATACTCTGCACTCTTACGCACATTTGGTGCTTCAACCATTCAAAATATGATGATTCTATCTTTTGCTGACACGTAAATTTGAGTTATCTACAAACATTAATTTGGCCACTCATTGTAATAATAGTCAGATGTTTGTCTGACAACAGCTGGTACAATCCATAAAGCAGTTTTATCCAGTTAATAAAAGTGAATTGATACATATATTATATTTATGACATTCATTTCGGAAATGTTCTCAATTTACAGCATTATTTCAGAAGTGCCTAAAACTTTTCAGAGTACTGTAGTTGCTGGTAGGTTAATTCAACACGGATTATTTTAATGTGCTGGTGGATGTCTTTTATAAAACAGCATTTTATTTATTTATAAATTTATTTGGTGTAAACTCTAAAACCAGATCATTCCAAAATTAATGTTTAATGACATACATGTTGAAGATTAGCCTACAGGGTGTAAAATCATTCAATTCATTTCTGAAGTTCTTTTTTATTTTTTTTAAACTTTTTTCAGTGTAGTAAAGCTTCTCCTCTATAGAGTCTTTTAAATTATATTCATGAATTATTTATAAATAGCTATTTCAAATAAAATGTCAAACAATTTACTTTGACAAAAATATCACATTGAGGAAACTTGAATTATTTGAACTCAAATAAACACTCACAAATTAGCAGCTTCAATACATAACACATACTGTAATGCTTAATGTTCCCATATTCAGTGGACTGTGCAGTTTGAAGCTGAACATATCAATCACCTAATCCAGCTGTGCTTTGAGTTGTTGCATAAGTGTAATTGATGGCTACCTCTTTATACTTGGGTTTTCTTGTTGTTAAATTGAAATAAAATATTTCTTACATTCATACATTATTTGTATACCACAGAGAAAAAAAAGAAGATCATTGGGGAGTTGCTAAACATTGAAGAGAAATATTCATTGAAGCTTTCAACTGAAGTGAAGGTAAGCTCAATATAAAAGCAAGAAATAGAAGAAGTGAAAAATAAGCGAGTGGTTAGGTTGAGTCATCCTCTCGAATTAAAACAGTACACACCCATATATCCCCCCCTTCAGTATACATTCTATGGTTAAAATTGTTTCTCAGTGCAAATTTGCCCAGATTAAAAGCACAATTTTAAAGTAAATGATATACCAAAGCCATTGTGGGATTGACCTGTATTGTGACGTAAACAAAAAGTTTTTCTTTTGTATGCTGTAGGTTGTTAATGACTCTGTCCATGGTCACATTGAGCTGCACCCCCTGCTGGTGAAGATCATTGACACGCCACAGTTTCAGAGACTGAGAAACATTAAACAGCTGGGAGCAGGATACTGGGTCTTCCCTGGGGCCTCACATAACCGCTTTGAACACTCCATTGGGTAACGGATGTTTACACACAATTTAATCAATGCATCGGTAACACTTTAGACTACAGTTCCATTATTAATGACTAACTACACAGGAACAAATGAGTATTAGCACTCTAGTAACTAACAAGAAACTCACAACTAACAAGATTAATGAATTAGCAAGTAATAGTGAATTTCGTGTTAGTTACTAGAGTGCTAATTTTGCATTACTCATTTGTTCCTGTTATTCATTAATGACGGAATTGTATTCTGAAGTGTTACCAATGAATCATTTTTTTAAAAGTGGAAATATTTAGAAATCTGAGATGTAAAAGTAATTGATTTGACCAATTAAACTATTTATCTATCATGTTTTCCTTTAAGTAAACTGAGGTTCTGTTTGTGTGTGTAAGTGTGGCACATTTAGCAGGATGTCTGGTCAAGAGTCTGCAAGAGAAACAGCCGGAGCTCAACATTACCAATCGAGACATTCTCTGTGTCAAAATTGCTGGTCTGTGCCATGATTTAGGTGAGTGCCACATATATATATATATGGTCTGTGGATGTGTCAACTACTAGTGGTACCACCATATTCTACAGATAGCAATTTTACATTTGTTTTTTTCTGTTCTCAAGGTCACGGTCCATTTTCTCATTTGTTTGATAAGATGTTCATTCCTGCAGTCCAGTCTGGTAAATATCAGAGTTTCTCACTTCTCTAGTCTTGCTGTTTGTAGTTATGTGTATAAAAAGTACAAATTATTCACTTGTGCTCTTAATATTTTAGTAATTAAAAACATATGTCACTAAAAAAATAAGATTTTTAAAAGAATAGTTAACTTTCACACATTCGTAAAACAGCAGTTCATAGAAAACTTGACTGTAAACAACATGTTTTGACGTGAGAACCAATTGTGTTTTGGTGTCACTATCATTCCTCCACACGAACATGGACTAAACATGCGTTTCAGTGCAAGGGAGGATTATTAGCGAATAATGAATAGTCTACATTTATGTTGCTTTTTGGATCTTGAACTGCTTTTGTATGGAAAGAGTCCTTAAAAATTGTAGCTTTTTTTTTTTCTTTTTTTTTTTACAACTTTGCAAAGATATTAAGGTGAGTCGTGGTTCTCAGCCCTTTTCCTGCATATCTCCCGAGTCAAACACACCTGATTCAGGTCATCGGCTCATTAGTAGAGCTTAAAATAGGTGTATCTTTTTATTTTACAAGGGACAAAATCATATTACAAGCCAAATACTTAACAATTTTGTTCATGCTGCTGGGTGTCAATCCAGAACCCATAGCATTAAATAAAATTAATTGGTGCACCACCTTTAATGTGACTATGCAAATGTTTACATGGACAACAATAATCCGATATTAACAGGATTAAGACAACACTCTGATTAAGAATCTACCATTTAAACAGTGATTTTTGATTACCTTAATTACCTAAAGCTGTACTCGAAGTAAACACAAATCGAATTAAGACGTGGAGCATTCCTATTTTAGTTGTGTTATTGAAGTGCAGTATAGACATGTACACACCTCAATCACACTATTACCGTCGTCTAGGACTTTTCACCACACACGGCAGTGGACAACCGTTTGACGGCAAACAAAAAAGCATGGCTTCAAGCAAGATGGCACAATTTAATCAGTCGTGTCTGTTTGCAGGTATAGCAAAAAAATTAATTGCCTGCTCAATTAAATATGTGCAGTGTCACATGGTTAATGCAAATTGTCACATGACCAGAGCAGTTTACATTTACATTACTGTAACAAAGTTCGTAGTCACGGGAAGAAGGAGGCGGGAACCGGCGAACATTTAATAAAAACTTTAATAAAATAAACAAACACAAAATAAAGTCCAGGCCTGGTCCTCTCTCGTCTTCCACTGTCGTCACTCCTCCTTTTATCCTTCTGGAGCTCCCCCGTGAGACTCGAGACCGGTGAGTGGCGAAGGTGTCGCTCATTAGCATTTACTCCACCGGCCTCGCTCCGTTCCCACGGCTCTCGGCCCCGCCCCCGCCCCCACACCCCCACTCGTCACGATTACATTACATTTAGTCATTTAGCAGACGCTTTTATCCAAAGCGACTTACAAATGAGAACAATGGAAGCAATCAAAATCAATGAAAGAGCAATGATACACAAGTGCTAGAACAAGTCTCAGTTAGCTTAATGCAGTACACGTAGCAAGTTTTTTTTTTAAATCATATAATAAATAAAAAGAATAGCAATCATTTCATATATATTCCATGTTGTTGTTTTTCTTTTTGCTAGATGCCAAATGGAAGGTGTGTCAAACTACATACACAAGTCTTCAGGCTGAGAGTAAAATAAGAAGCTTTTTAATGAGATCTGGTGATATTATCAACTTAATGTCATGTTCTACGTAACACACAGTTTACTTGACCTTTTTAGTTAGATTTAGAAATGTGTGTTTGCATGTAACATGCATAAACCACAGAACACTAAACCTTCAGTGTTTTTTTGGTTAAAAAGAAAAAGAAAACCACAAAATAAAAACCTATGTCTATAAGGAAAAATCCCTTTTTATTTAATATATTTGTTCATGAATATATTCATATGACTTTGACTGATTTACATAATTATATTTTATATATTTATCTATGCTATTTATGGTTGTGTTTCATTTTCAGCATGAAGAAGCCTCAGTTAAAATGTTTCACCACATGGTAAAGGAGAATAATCTGGAACAGCTGATGGAATCATATGGACTGAAAATGGAAACAGATCGTACCTTTATTGCTGAATTAATCAAAGGGGTGGATACAGCAGAAAAAGAGGTACAAACTCCAGTAAACAACAATTGCAGACTACGTTCACCAGCGTATGTAAATGTTTGATAGCTATTAAAAGTATGTTCATTCTTCCAGTGGCCTGCGGATCCTGGCAGGACGGAGGACAAGGCTTTCCTTTATGAGATTGTGGCAAATAAACGGAACGGCATTGATGTTGACAAATGGGACTATTTTGCTCGGTAAATATACATTTAGAATTCTTCCGTAATATTTTTGAGTAACCCATGCTGTATGCTTTTTTGATGGACAGGAAATAACACCTAGTACAGATGTAGAGATTTATTTGCCCCTGAGAAACTTTCTTCTGATTAGTGAACATATGCTTAGAGGTCAACAAGATATCTTGCAATTATATCATCTTGTCATCTGATTTACATTATTATCATTTTCTTTATTATTGTAGACTGTTGTCATATTGTTCAAGCTTTAAAAAAATCAAAACAAGAATATGGGGAAGATTATATATAGTCCAAAATAGAGAAAGTACAATTCTTTAAATCTGAATCATTGTACTTGAATCATCATTATATTAGTGTATTTTTACAGAGACTGTCATTACCTTGGCATTTCAAAGAGCTTTGACCATCAACGGCTGCTGATGTTTGCTCGAGTGTGTGAAGTGGAAATAAAGGATGACTCCAGTAATGCTGAAAAACCAATGAGGCTAGCCATCTGCTACAGGGACAAGGTACCTGATACATTTGATAATATTGTGAAATTATGTTATAAACTTATTTATGCTTTACAGTGTCATAAACAAATTTATCACCAAAAAAAGATTGTTATTTAATATATTGTGTAGTATATCAGTCTATTACTCAACAGCATCTTTAGTATAACATAACTTTTGCTTTCAACATATTTTATAATTAAATAAATATATTTTACTTCAATCTGGCTAATTTATACACCATGCATCAAACTTTTATAAATCTTCTTATAATATAATATAATATAATATTATATAAATCTTATTTTATTTTATTTAGTAATGTATGGAAAGACAAATGGCTGCTTTTACATCACATTCTAGTCCATTTTCTTTGTCTAACAGGAGGAAAATAATATTTATGACATGTTTCGCACCAGATACACACTGCATCGTCAGGCCTACCAGCACAAGACTGTCAATATTATTGAAATCATGTAAGATTATATATATATATTTATTGCAGGTATCATTGATTAAATAGTTTTAAGACATGGCTCTCTGGAATACTTGATAGATCAGTCACAGAATTCATTCTGTATAATGACTGCTGCACAATCTCTCTCTCCCTCCCTTCCTCACTCTCGCTCTCGCGCTCTCTCTCTCTCTCCCTCTCTCTCTTTAGCTCTCTCTCTCCCTCCCTTTCTCACTGACTCTCTCTATCTCCCTCCCTCCCTCTCCCTCCCTCACTCCCTCTCTCTCTCCCTCCCTTCCTCACTGACTCTCTCTATCTCCCTCTCTCCCTCTCT